TATATGACCTCCCGTGACCCTTAGGAGAACTATGGGGAAAAACACTGACCCCATACTTCTCTTTTAAATTATACATTTCACTTTAAAAATTAATAAAAACACATTTGAAAAAATAAAAGCACAAAAAACCAAATGAACATGTCAGCGATTCTATGAGATCTTAGTGGTTGGGTTTATTTTAGGATGCAGCCTCTTTTTTTTTTTGGCACATTTATGATACCCCGAGATCCGATATTCATCAACGTAGAAGCGTCTGGACACAACCCAGGTGCCTCATTCCCCTCTTCATTACATATTTATTTTCACCCGAATCGGCATCACGACACTTACAGCCACATTAAAATATACATTAGAATGCGAGCGATGAAGTGCTATAAATTATGAATGACTGGAAGGATATTACACATTAATGTCAGAGTGAGGAGGAGGAGATGTGAGAGAAATATTCTATAGTAAAGAAGAACTCCAGGGAAAACATTTTATAACCCCTACAGGGGAGCTAACTCCGCACTGCAAGGGTTCACTGCTTGCTTTGGTCTAGGGGCAAAAATAAAAAAGTTATATTCACCGATCCCCCGAGCTGGCCAACTGGCACCTGTAGCGCTCCCTGCTGCAGCGATGGTAACTCCCTCAGCGTCACATCCTATACACTGTGTATAGAACACGATGACTCCAGGACCTTAGACAGCTGCAGCAGAGGAGGAGGGATGCTGCCGCCTTCGAGGATCAGGTGAGTAGAACTTTTTTTATTTTTGCACTTAAGAGAACTATGGGGTCAGTGTTTTTCCGCATAGTTCTCTTTAGGGTCACGGGGGGACATATGCCAACGTCCTCCCGTCACCCAAAGCTCAGCATATCGTGGGCTATTGCCCGCGATATACTGTGAGCGCCGCGGCCAGGATGGATCCCAACATTACTGTCGTGATCCACCCAGCTGAGTGACAGCTGGCTCTGCCTATCTAGAGGCAGAGCCAGCTGTGCCCGCCCCCTCCCCCGTCCGTTCCTCCACCCAGCGTTGGAAGATCGGACGGGGGGAGGGAGGGAATCCCTGCAGGAAACTACCGCAGGGAGACGATCGGGAAGTGAGCGGATCGGCTGCATGTTTCTGCAAACTTCCCAATCAATAGAGCCGACCTGTGACCGCTTCTTTGTCACAGGTGGACTCTTAACTATGAGGATGAGTGGAAATCACACACCTCATAGTTCTCCTTTAAACACAGACGAGCACTTAACCCTTGCTGTACGGGGAGAAGAAGCCTTTTCCCTGGAGCTCTTCTTTACAATGCAAGGTCCTCATATAACATCCGGGCCCCCTTTACAATTCACCCAATGCAAGTCGTTCCAATACATACCTGCAGGACCTCATTCAGGTGGGCGGTGGTTTGCTTTCAGGAGGGAGGCAGAACAATGGCTACCCAGCGTTCAGGAGGCAACACTGCATCCTACTGAATGGCATTTCTTATTTTTCTCCAATAGGGATTTTCAAACGCAATACCGCGCCGTAACCACGTACGTACCCGCACTGTCCCATTGATTGCAATAGTGACATTTGGCAAGCGGCAAACCATCATGGCCGCTATTTTGGCTTTTAAGTGGGTCATCGGGGCACGCTAAAAATGCAAGCCAACCGCCTGCTTTTACCGCCCCCTTGTATAAACGAGGCCTAAAGAACAATGGTAGATTTACCTTACCCTCCTCCCCTGCATCATAAGGCGCGGGAAGATTCCTACAGAACGCAGAGCAGGAGAAATCTCGCGGGAAGACACTCTGGACCGTTGCAAGAGCAACATTTCCACCGCTCTGTATTCCCCGGGATCGCACAGGAAGCGGCGCCATCCTCACCTAATCACCGTGGGCGTAAGGCAGGGGTGGGGTAAGTATAAATCTTGGTCATCACAGGAAGATTTTGGAACTGCTCCCATTAGCCGATTTTTAGATGGAGAGGTACAAGCAGAATTTGCAGTATTAGGCCTCATTCACACGAGAAAAGCCTGGCCCGTACAGCTCTGTGCTGCGTGCACGTCCGTATCGGGCCGCTCCCAGGAAGGACAGGTGCTGCGTGTGATTAGTATGCAGCCCCTGTCCTTCTCAATGGGACTATGCGACCGTACGCCACCCTACGCTCACCTCAAGTGCAGGTCCGTACGGGTGCGAGTGTCCCGGGTCGGATGCAGACAGGATCCATCCCGTCAGCGTACGCTCACCCGTACGGACGTGCAGGGCGGGTGAGCGTAGGGCGGAGTACGGTCGCGTAGTCCCATAGAGAAGGACGGGGGCTGCATACTAATCACACGCAGCACCTGTCCTTCCCGGGAGCTGCCGGATACGCCGCAGCATGGAGCAGGAAGCTGTACGTGCCGGGCTTTTCTCGTGTGAATGAGACCTTACTCTGAAGCACAATGATGGAGTACGGTGTATTGAGGTGAGAGCCTCCGATAATCTTCCTACTAGCCCGGCCACATCGGCCTTTACATCCTCATTTCAAATCCCATTTTAATTAAATTTGCTCCTTTAATCTGGGAGCAGGTGGTGACCTCAAATTCTCAGGCACGGTAAAGATTGTCAGAGGCGAGACAGCCGTCCGCAGGCCCTATATGTGGAAGGGACGTAATCCACTTTAATGAGCATCACAAATTAGAAATCCCGGCTTACCCCCCGGCCGGCAAATCTAAGCTGAGCAATGACTTCTCCGGATACAACAGAGCGTGAAAATGTATAGAATACCATAGAACCCTCCAATGGTCAGAGGACCCTGGGGGGAGGAAGGGGGGGTAATGGTTCCCTATGCAATTTGGTTTCTCCAAAAAGTGAGATCTCCCTGCCAACATTTCTAACATATTACTGTCATATTTCTGTATCCCAGATCCTGCTGATACATTCTCCAGAATCCTAAAATAACTAAAAGAGGGATAGGGGGGAACCCTCATAATGGGCACAGCAGGTGTACAGACCCGGGAACTCAGCTCAGGGATGGTGGGAACCCCTCATAATGGGCACAGCGGGTGTACAGACCCGGAACTCAGCACAGGGATGGGGGGAGCTCCTCATAATGGGCACAGCAGGTGTACAGATGCGGGAACTCAGCACAGGGATGGTGGGAGCTCCTCATAATGGGCCGAGCAGGTGTACAGACCAGGGAAACCAATAGAATTCCTGAGAGATGGAAAGACTATCAGGTTGTTTAACTCTACAGCATTCACCAAAGACTGAAATATCAGTTTGGGTGGACCAGCTCAAAAAAAGGAGAATTTCTGCTGCTATCTCTGCTGTAGTGAAGAGAAATCCCCTAGACACCCCCCCCTGTTGTCCTCAGTAGTTCCACCCGCCAACATAGGACCCAGTAGTGATGAAGGGGCTGGCGGATCAAGCCATTGCATGCAGCAGGGGATTAGGAATCCCGACGGTCCTGGAAATTCTGCTTTCTGAAGACTCTTCCGCCGGCAATTTCTCTCCACCACAGCAGAGACTGGCGGCGTGGGCAGAGGTGGGAGAGGTGAGTAAGTCCCTCCTTGCAGGGGCAGCTGGTATTTTAGGTATAAGCTTAGGTGAAAGTTACTTTACAAACAAAGCAGAGGTCACATAATGCAAACACTGAGACATTGTTCGGGTTCCTGCTTCCTGAGAACGGGAAAACAATATACAGAGATATAATGATAGATGATTTTTTATGTTTCCAACAAACAAAACAATAAAAGTTCAGAACACAGACCAGTGATTATTACTAATGAGGAACCGATCGTGTTACCAGCCTGGCATCATAAGCCGGGTGCTTCCAAACTCCATAACACGAAGGGATAGGGGAGCATATACACAAGTTCGTCATCACCATCCATGCATCACAAACCCGTGAGTCACCCAGAGCAAACGTGTAGCCGCTCAAGTGTGAAATCTGCACGCATGTTCCAGGTCTGCACCTTGCCAAGGCAATGAAGCAACGGACAGGAATGACAGCCATGGGGCATGGAACTTCAAATAAACAAGTCAGCAGTTGCATATTTGTATGCAGCCGGGGGGGATCTCTTTAAACAACGACCACATACCACATATACCAGCTAGGACTGTGGCCGCTAATACAAACACAGCTTACCTATCTCCTTACTGTCTGCTCAGTCAGCAACAAATGGCTTTTTTTTAACCCTTTCCTGTCTGCTGAATCAAGACAAGCTAATGCTCCCGGGGATCCAAGCCCCTGAGGGTCAAGTGAGATTAATCAGCAATTGTAACTGGTCAGCAGCAACAGAGGACTGTATAGAAGGACACACATGTGTGTTTATATTCATACTACACATTAGGAAATGACATGAATGGACCCACATAGTCCTTGCTCACTCTGGTCCTAGCAGGAACCCCCCCCCCCAAGTATCAGAGCAATGCCCAGGGGCCTGTTGTGTGTATGCGGTGCCGGCGGATTCACATGTCTTATTACACGGCTGACAGATCACAGCACAATAAAATTGCAGCTTTCCAATCTCCCGACATCTGACGACGCGGACTCTCATCTCTCCTTTGTTGTCTTTCTGCTCTCAATGTTTTATGAACATTTTAATAATAACAGCGGCTGACAGCATGCGAGACACTGACTCGTCACAGGACCAAACAAAAGCCGTAACAAATCTCGTGGGCTGCGCCAAATTGCAGATCGCTGCGCCGATACTAAAACGGGTTAAAGCAACGCATCCTTTAATGACAACCTCTGCCTGCAAGGTAGTGATTAACTCTCGACTGTCAGACCGCCGAGCAGACTGACCAGGCTTTGGAAAAAAATAATATAGCTGCTGCTGGCTCGTTGAACCCGCGAGAGGTTAAGAACCAGACCGAGCCCCGAGCCGTTTCAGCAAATGGTCAGAACCTGACTCTGGGTCCCAACCTGCCGCTGCGGGCGCGAGTGCGAGAGAAAAACGCTAAAAAGGTTGGCACGGGGCGACGTGAAGGAAAGAAAGAGCGCATCGGTGAAATGTGTAGACGCACAGGATGTAATTACTGTCTGCAAAGAGGAGTACCTTTAGCCCAGCATATCGGAAAGGGGCTGCAGCCGCTCTTCTCCATATAGATGACAGCACCTGTCTTTTGCGGGCCCAGGCGGCCTGCCAGTTCCAACAACATACACCCAGCGGACGGGGAGAGCGGAGGAACGTCAAGCCAGCAGACGGCATACGATATCCCAGTTCAGTGCTCGGGGGTTGGTAGGAGCTCCGGACGGAACGGGAACCTCCACTGCATTGCTGCTCTGGTCGTGTATGCAGGAAGAGCGCCGGTCGGGATCCGGCACAGACATGAAGGCTGCCTTCCAATTACACAATCTGCTCATGCCTCGGCGCTGGCTGAGACGGTAGCATGCTTGTTCCTGAATGCAGCCAGTAACGTGACTGTGTGTGCCTGTGATTGCTGCTTCCATTCAGTCAGGGGAGAGGGGAGGAGGGCGGAGGAGGAGGGAAGTGGTGGGGGAGACGGAGGAGGAGTGTGCAGGGTATTACCATACACCTTGTTAATATGCTAATCTCAAGCCAGCCTGCAGCCTTCTCTGTTTACCGCACAACAAACCTGCCTCGGATTACATGCCACAGCAGACCGCAGCCTCCGGTTAAAGGGCCGGGACCCCCAGACCTGCACTGTGCGGGGCGAGGAGGGGAAATGTATAGAATGTACACAACACTACGACACATCCCCACTGCCATTCACCAGTCTGTCACTACTCATCTATGAAAGTGCCGGTGTTCTGTCTGGAATGCCGACCCAGTCGAATTCTCCAACCTGACTATTGCGCGCACACAGCGGGATGAACGGGAAAACAGCCATTTATTGACAAAGTATTTATTTGTAATTGTTAATTGTGACCGTTTCTAATATGCCATCCATCATTTACAGCCATGGATGGCATATTGTGAACGTTCACAATTAGAAATAAATACTTTGTCAATAAATGGCTGTTTTCCCGTTCATCCCGCTGTGTGTGCGCAAATTCGACTGGGTCGGTATTCTCGACAGAACACGGGCATCATCAACAACATTCCTACTTCCTGAGAGTGCACATAAAAATACAAAGTATCCGTTTTATATACATTGTATAGATGTATCTACAATCGGCTTCTCTCTTTTGTTTTCAAAGCATAACTGAACAAATACAAATTAAAGATAGAAGCTGATTGGTTTCCATGGGCAACCGCACCGGTATAGTGTGTGTCTGTGTTTTATAATGTATTTTTTTTTTTAAAGAAACATTTAAAACACATGGGAAGACCAAACCAATCAGCTTCTCTCTTTCATTTTCAAAGTTTAACTGAACAAACTGAAGACAGAAGCTGATTGGTTTGCAGCTTCTTCAGATTCTGTCTGCTCCAGTGTTGATAAATTCTCCCCAGGATCTGTCTTTTATATACATAGGGGGAGAATTTAACAAAACTGGAGCAAACAGAATCTGGAGCACTTGCCCGTGAGAACCAATCAGCTATCTTTCATTTTCAAACCCAAACTGAAGAGAGAAGCTTTACTAGATTGGTTACTATGGGCAACTGCTCCAGATTCTGCTCCAGGTCTGATAAATTCCCCTCGCTGTATTTTTTGATACTTAGTATTAAATGCGATGGGGGGAATTTATCAAAGTAAAACTTTTTTTTGTTTTGGATGGACTGAAGAAGGATTAGACCCAGTCAGGTTCTAATTGCTGTCCATGTCCCCGTTAGGGGGATTCCCCCTCTCCATGTGTCCTGGTGACTGTTATCACTGCAAGTGAAAGAAAATCCCAAATTTCGAATTGTCACCAGAACAGGAATAGATGGGAAATCTTCCAATGGGGACACAAGTTCTGGTGACCCCGCTGACCCCCAGATATTCCTTCTCCCTTGAAAGGGATTTCTTCTAACTTCCTATTATGGCTATCAGACAGGAAGTGAAGGGAAATCTCCCCAATGGGACACTGATGGCAAAAACAAAAAGCTGACAGAGGTTATAACCGTCTCTTACCCTATCCAAAACTAATCAAATCAAATAAAATTGGGGGGTTTCTTTTTTACTATAAGGTGCACTGCAAGCCCATCTGAAATGAATAGGCTGCCCTAACGCATGTCAATGCAACACATGGTAGCTTAGAGGGATGCACCAATATTGATACTAGTATTGGTGCAGATCCCGAGTATTTGGGCGGGTACTCGTACTCTCCCAAATGCTCCGATACCTTCCCTGATAGCAGAACTTCCGGGCAGAGGGAGATGTTTCCTGTGACCGGCAGTGCCGCGAGGGAACATAGAGCTGGCTTCTTAAGCCAATCAGGAAGCCGGGCGATGGGTAATAACCCACCTCCCGGGTTCCTGATTGGCCCAGGAAGCTGGCTCCATGCTGATTGGCTGAGAAGCCAGCTACCCAATCAACATGGAGCCGGCCAAACAGCATGGAGCCGTCTTCCTGGGGAATCAAGAAGCCAGGGGGTGGGTAATGAAGCGCTGCCTGTCTTCCTGATTGCCAGGAAAACCGAAAAACCGGTATCAATGCATCCCTAGTAGCTTATTTATAAAGCAGTCAATTAGGCTTTTACCAAATAGTCACTGGTAAGTATAAAGCGCTACAGAACACTATAGAAATATCTGTAATGAATACATTTTGTTTGGGGGGGGGGGGGGGGG